GGGCTGGGGATTCGAACCCGCCACCTTAGGTGTACGTGGCTGGCGCCTTAGCCGGTTGAGCTATAGGCGCCAAGCCTAAATATTTCTTAAATGAAAAAATAATTGGTAAATTTTCAAAGCCAAATGGATTGGGTTTTGAATCATCTATTAGTTTGGATTATCAGGGTAGTGTTCCCCTCACACACCCCTCTCTCCCACCCCTGGAATAGTCAGCAGTTTAATATTGACTGAAAGGCAGCCTCTGTAGAGAAGTTAATTAAGTCGTGAGAGTTTTGGAGCTTCCCCAGCAGCAGGCTGAACTTTGGCGAGTGTGTCATGAGTCATCGCAAAATAAGCTCCTGTGTCTCCCATGTCTTTGCAGCTCCAGAATTCAAAAGCTGTGATCCAGTCAAAGGACTCCACCATCCAGGAGCTCAAGGAGAAGGTCGCCTACCTGGAGGCAGAGGTGTGTGTGCTGGGCAGCCCTGGCAGGGCTCTTGAAGAAAAGATGGATGTGAAGGAGGAGAGGCAGTGGGGGTCGGGGTCTCCTACTACCTGACTGCTGCTTGGTATCTGGAGAGTCGTCTGGAGTAAACATTCTCTGAGAACCTTCAAGGAGTAGTTGCCAGCGATGGTGAAACCTGCTTGTGCTCTCCAGGGACATATTACCACGCAGGCTGCATGCCTGGCTGCCTGGAGGGCCCTGAATTCTGATCACGTGGGCTTTGCAGAGGCGACGGCAAGGTGGCTGGACTTGAAGAAGGAGGAAGCATTCTGTAGTTGGAGTCTTTTCTTTCTTTCTTTTTTTCTTTTTTTATTTAAGTCTTTTCTTTTTTTTTTTAATCAGAGTGACAGATTCTCACTCTGTCACCCTGGGTTGAGTGCTGTGGCATCATAGCGCACAGGAGTATCAGTCTCTTGGGCTCAAGTGATCCTTGATCCTCTTGTTTCAGCCTCTCCAAATAGGTGGGACTGCAGGCTCCTGCTGCAACACCCAGCTAGTTTTTCTATTTTTAGTAGAGGTGGGGTTTTGCTCTTGCTCAGAGCTGGTCTCGAACTCCTAAACTCAAGTGATCCACTTGCCTCAGCCTCAGTGTTGGGATTACAGGCATGAGCCACTGTGCCTATCCTATGGTTGGAGTCTTTTCCATGTCTTCTTAGTCTAGTGTCCGTGTTGCTACAAAGCCCTTCCTTCCTAAACTTTGGCTAGTGTTCAGGAAGAACACTACCTAAAGATGCCATTGTAGCCACTGTGGGAAGATACCTTGTGATAGAGGAGATAAATGTAAGAATGCATTGTTTATCTTTAGAAAATCTGCCATCTAGAGTTAGAGATAAAATTCATTCTTTAAAAAGACAGAAGAGGCTGGCACCTGAAGCTAAATGGTTAGGGTGCTGGCCACATGCACTGGAGCTGGCAGGTTCAAACTCAGCCCGGGCTTGCCAAACAATAATGACAACTACAACAAAAGAATATCCAGGCGTTGTGGCGGGCACCTGTGTTCCCAGCTACTTGGGAGGCTGAGGCAAGAGAATTGCTTAAGCCTAAGAGTTTGAGGTTGCTGTGAGCTGTGACATCACGGCACTCTACCGAGGGTGACATAGGACACTCTGCCTCAAAAAAATATATAAATAAATAAAAAGACCAAGGAATGCTTTGTAGAACAGCATATCAACACAAGCAAGTGAATATCTCAACTGAGGAGAAGAAATTATATGCGGCAATGGTCAGTGTTGCACAGAGCCAGTGCAGGCCAAGTGTTAGAAGAACGCAGTCTGTGGTGATGAGATGAGGGGCAGGCATCGGGCGGTGCAGGTGTGGTGGGGGCCGGGCAAGAGCAGCACAGACACAGACCACACTGTGCCAGAAAAGGGCCGATGCTAACCCTAAAGCATGTATTACAGAATTTAGAGATGCATGATCGGATGGAGCACCTGATAGAAAAACAAATCAGTCACAGCAACTTGATAGAAAAACAAGTCAGCCATGGCAACTTCAGCACCCAGGCTCGGGCCAAGACAGAGAGCCCAGGCAGGTGAGTAAGTGCATGTAGACAGAAAGGGCCCAGGTAGGCAGGAAAGGAAAGAGACAGCCATGCAAAGCATGTAGTGCTAAGGCCAGGACAAGGCTTTAAGTCCAGCTCCTCTCTGAGTCTTTAATCTGACCCATTCTCCACTAGGACTATTCTGACCTAGTTAGAGTAGAGTCTGGTGTCACAAACCCAAAGCCATGAATGGCTTCTAGGTGTATAGGACCTCCTGAAGTTGTCTGCAACATTTATTAGTAATATTTGCATATTTCTAGAGAGGGGGTCTTTTGCTTTCAGGAGATTTACAAAAAGGGCTGAGATCTTAAAAAAATCAAGACTCACAGCTATATCCACTTCTCAGTTGTTGAACTTGCCCTCTCTTTACATATCATGCTCTCAGCCTTCACTTGGATGTCACTGATAATCACAGCATTTGTAGGCCCTGAGATCAGCCACCATGGAAGTGTAAGATTCCAGAGGCAGATGAGGAGGGTAGGCAGCCACACAGCTGTTTTCGACTCTGCTCAGTGTCATCCACTTGTTTTTCAGTGTCAGGATATCCAAGCCGCCTCCCAGCCCAAAGCCCATGCCTCTCATCCGAGTGGTGGAAACATGAGCCACCAGGACATGGGCACTGCTGTCTCCTGCCTGCCAGAAGCCCACCACCCCGTTGGCTGTTGGCACTCACTTTGACTTCCCGGCGGGTCCCCAGCTGCACCCAGGGTTTGGGCTTGTGTGTCGCACATTCTCAAGCTCCTATCCTCAGTATGCCGGGCAGACAGCATGAGCGCCTTCTCTGGACGCTGCAGCCCTTGGGAAGATGTGACCCTGCCAGCAGGCGGTATCCTTATTCCTGTAGTTACTGTTTCTCTGCAGTCTCCCTTCCTGCCCAAGAAGCCAGGCCTTCATCTGGTCAGGAGAGGTGACAAGATTTGCTTCAGCCCTCAAACGATGGTAGAGGCATGGCTGTCCAGAGTGATTGGAGAATGTCCTGGGGAATGAAGTTCTGCAAGCACAGCTTGGTTCTTAGCAACAAACTGTTAGTTTTTCTACTTGCTCCACCTCCAGCCCATGCTGGGCCTCCTGCAGATAGACAGTGGGACTAACGGGCAAGGCCTGGTCAGAGTCAGTGAACTTGAACTTTGACTACATGGTCTTGTCTTCTTAGGGAAGAAAGAATGTAACTTCAGGGAGTAGTTTTTTGCAGAAAGATTCTCTAGGGCCATGGACAGTTACGTGTGACTTCTCTGCTGTGAAAACTCCCAGACTATCCTAGGGTTTTCCCCTGAGGTGTGCCATGAGGTATGCCTCAGTCTTCTTGACCCATAGCCTAGAAACTGTCTTCACTGGGTTATATCAGTCCCAGCAAAGTCTTTATTGTATTTATTTTGCTAAGTTATTGGTATTTTTGCTTACATCTCATAATTGACTTAATACCAAAGTTCTACAGCCTTCTCTTGCAGTGTTTAGATTTGCTTGAAATTGGACAGGAGTTCCCATTGGACTTTTTGATCTCCAAATGACATTGTTATTTTTCTCCCCTCCCTCCCTCACTCCTTCCATTCTTTTCTTTCTTAATCCTTCCCTTCCTTTTCCCCTTTCCTTCCTTCCTTTTTTTTTTTTTTAAAATAATGTCTTGCTCTGTTGCCCAGGCTAGAGTGCAGTTGTGTTACCATAGCTCACTGTAACTTCAAACCCTTGGGTTCAAGTGATCCTCCTCCTGCCACTGCTCCTAGCTGATTTTCTTTTTTCTGTTTTTTGGAGACAGAGTCTCACTTTGTTGCCCTTGGTAGAATACTGTGGCATCACAGCAACCTAAAACTCTTGGGCTCAAGCAATTCTCTTGCCTCAGCCTCCCAAGTAGCTAGAACTACAGGCACCCAACACAACACCTGGCTGTTTTTTTGTTGTTTAGCTGGCCTGGGCCAAGTTCAAACCTATATGCCCTGGTGCATGTGGCCGGCACCCTAACCATTGAATGACAGGCACTGAGCCTCTTTATTTTTGTAAAGATTAGCTCTCGCTGTGTTGCCCAGAATGGGCTCAGACTCCTGGACTCAAGCAGTCTTTCCACTTAGGACTCCCAAAGTACTAGATTATAGGTGTAAGCCACCACACCCATCCCAGAATGACATTATGATAAATCTTTCTCTCCCTTTCTTCTCCCTGACCCCCTGCACATCAGGAAGGCAAATATACTTTCCCTAAGGCATTAGGGTCTCAATGTGTGTTGTTTGGGAGAAAGGGGTGATCAGGACTCTCCTGGGGCTAGAATCAGTTCTTTCCCTGACCTTTCTGAACCCCTGTACTCCATAATTGGTCTTTTATACTGGCTCTGAATGGCCCTGCAGCTCATCGTGGTTTTCTTCAATGCTTTTCTTAAACAGCCTCAAGAAGTAGATAAGCATCCCTGTGTGGTGCTCTAGGAAACAGAAAGATTAAAACTAAGTATAGATTAAGTCCTTAGGCTCTGTCTGGCTCAGAGCCAGAAGCCTTCAGTGTGTGTGTGTTTCTGTGTATCAGGGCTGGGCTTACCTTCTGGGTTTGTCCCTAATGGTGTTTTGGGACCTGAGGCAGTTTTACAAATGAGGGGTCAGACTCCACGTCCTTCCTGGTTCTGACATTTTTTTCCTGTAGCATATTCATTCTTTTTATGGTGAATTTAATAAATTATGTTAATGTGACTTTTTGACCTCCTGGCCTGGTTTCCTTTCACTTTCTGGGTGGGGGGAATGAAAGAACATAATATTAGTGCCTCTTTTTTTTTTTTTTTCCTTGGTAGAGTCTCTGTCACCCTGAGTAGAGTGCTGTCGTGTTATAGCTCAATAACTCAAATTCTTGGGCTCAATTGATCCTTCTCCCTCAGCCTCCCTAAGTAACTGGGATTACAGGCACCAGCCACAATGCCCAGCTATCTTTTTTTTCTTTTTTTAAAGACGGGGTCTCACTCTTGCTCAGGCTGGTCTTGAATTCCTAACCTCAAGTGATCCACCTGTCTCAGCCTCCCAGAGTGCTAGAATTATAGGTGTGAGCCACTGTGCCTGGCAATATTAGTGCCTCTTAAAGATGGACATGCTGGGGTCGGTGCCTGTGGCTCAAGTGGCTAAGGTGCCAGCCACACACACCTAAGGTGGCAGGTTCAAATCCAGCCTGTGCC